GCGTCAAATCCGTGCTACTATGGTCCTTCACACCAACCAGACAAGACCAGAACCGACCAGACCAGGTGCACCACTCAATCCTCACCGCAGGCAGGTCTTGCAACAGGAAAAACGACGGTAGTCACAAGCATCTCGCACAAGGCAACAGAGCCACTGCCTCATTACCTCATTCCATCCCTCGTTTGACTGACGTTCAAAGCGTCGTAAAAAGCATTTAGTGCAAGCTGCTGCAGTAGTAGTAGACGTTTGGATGTGAGAGCCTCTTGGGTGCTACAGGCTTTTTCTATAAGCGCACACTCTGCCATTTCTGTTTTATTACGTTCAAAGCGTCGTCTAGAAAGCATTTGTGAGTGCAAGCTGCTGCAGTAGTAGTGTCAGGCTTCAGCACGTCTGTGCTCAAATGCGTGGAAGCACGAATTTGACGCTAACAAGTAGACGTTTGGATGTGAGTGCCTCTTGGGTGCTCAAGGCCTTTTCTATAAGCGCACTCGGGCATTTCTCTTTCCCTTCTTTGGGGGCAGGCTTGCATCTCTAACAACAACTCCTTTTGGTGCCGGTGTACTCGACCATTGCTGTTCAGTCAGTGTCAGGCTCCGGGGCGTCCGGCGTGGAACACGGATTTGACGCTAACAGTCAGTGAAGGTGCCAAGGAAAAAAAAAAAAGCATGTTTAATAGCTTGAATGACTCGAGTTGTGCTACCTGAACACTTGTAACGCTACACTGTGCAAGGTGAGCCACACGGCGGCGCTGCGACACGACGTGAGATCTCACTCACTTTCTGCACCGACCATCGACAATGCGTTTGAAGAAAGCAGCTCTCCGTTTGTTTCTCCACACGAAGCACAAGCTACGGTCAGTCATGAACATATCCTTGTTACCCACAGTGCGCAACGCTCGCCATTCAGCCCGCTGCCCTGCCCATGCTGTGGTTTCGGATCAAGACATTTAGAGGAGCCCCCTCGGGACTTTTGTGGTGTTGCTGATGGAGAGACATCGTTATCATGAGTAATCATGGAGAGCAGCTGTTGAGGGCGTGCTTGACATCAGATCCACAAAGGGCGCTGCAGCTGTTGAGCAGTTGGGATCCACGACGTATTCGAGATGCTGCCGCCACTTTTAACCGTAATATTCTGGTACGTATGTTGCTTCGCATGGGCTTTGTTCTGTGATTATGGCTTTGAAGCTATTCATCTGAGCGGTTTTGTGCTTTGGGTT